GAACCCGAGCAACATCCCAAAGGTCGATACTTTCCATTTCTGTGGGGAGAGAGTCTCAAAATGGCTAGAGCGGGTGGAACAAGCTTTGGTCGGGCGGCCGGATGTTGTAAAGTTTCAACGCATTCTTCAGTATGTCCTCCACAGCTACCATCAGGAGGTGAAAAAAGTCATAGATGCGGCTCAAGGTAGTTGAGAGAGGTTCAAGGAGGGGATGCTGAGGAAATACTGCCTGGGAGACGTGTTGTTGACTACCACGGACCTTGAAGCGATGAACAAAGAGGATTTTACGACTATAGGGGCCTTTGTTCAAGAATTTAAGAAGAGGGCGCGGAAGGTCCATGGGATTTCGGAGGAAGCACAATGCGCCATCTTCCTGGGACTATTCACAGCATCGGAGGCCGTCGAATTGACGAGACATGGAGGAGGTAGCACTAAGCTCACCTGGGCCACCATTGACAGAGGGGTAGAAGTTGGGTGTTTGGACCAGGTAGAACAACGTCAGGTGCGCCTGCAAAGACAGAAGAGAAAGGAAAGAGATACGACCGCTTCTGGGACCCCGGGAGTAACAAGGATTGTTACAGACGTATTGGTACAGCTAGGGTATGCGACAGAGCCGATGGTGCAAAGGAGGGTGATGACGACTGTTAGAGTAAAAGGAAAAGAGCCAGTGATAGAGGAGGTTGGTCAGGAGGAGCTCTGGGAAGAGGAAGAGCCCGTGCCGCAGCACCTGACGAAGGTCCAGCGCAAAGTGCATAATTTGGCGCAAGGCGGACAGGGATCAGGAAAAGCGCAGGCGCATCAGGCCCAGGCATCAGCCCCTTTAAATATGGCGGCTCCATCATCTACTACGGGCCCCTCGCAAGGTGGGGCGCCTTCTTATGGACAGTGGCCCTGGCCGGTGATCAACGCAATTGTGCCATGGGGAAGCACGCCGCCAGTAGCCGGACCGCAGACGAGTATGCCACCACCCATCTACCCCGCGGCCCAGGCCCAACCTGTGGCCCCGCCACCGTCACTTGATCCCAGTTCACAGGGCAGTGTTGTAGGAGGTGGGAACCAGGGGCAGGGCAATCAAGGCAATGAAGGAAGGGGTGGAGGAAAGGGGCGAGGCAGGAATGGTGGCGAAAGAGGAAGGCAATGGAATGGCCAAGGCCAGGGGTACCAAGGCCAAGGGAGTCAAGGCCAGGGGTACCAAGGCCAAGGGAGTTAAGGCCAGGGGTACCAAGGCCAAGGGAGTCAAGGCCAGGGGTGCCAAGGCCAGGGGTACCAAGGCCAGGGCTATCAAGACCGGGGGGATCAGGGAAGTCAGGGGTATGGAAGACCCCGTTTTGACTGGAGGACGACCATCTGTCAACATTGTCACCAGCATGGCCATACTATAAGGTTCTGTAATATAAGACGGGAAGACGAGAGAAGCGAACTGATTTCCTTTACTATGGATGGGAATATCTACGATCAGTTTGGGGAGGTCATTGACAGAAGGCTTGGAAGGGTGAGGGCTGAAGCCCAACGAAGAGCGGCAGCGAGGCCACCGCCCCCTGCCATGTTCAGGCTATGGCAGGAAAAGGAGGAACCACCGTTTGGGGTGGAAGAAGTGGGGAGCAATGAGGAAGTGACTCAAGGGCTGCGAGGAGGAAGTGAGATGGAAGGGGCCATAATCATCGAGTCAGATGACGAGGATGAGGAGGAAAAGACGGAGCCGCTGTCCGTCTTATTTGAGAAGATGAAGGACTTGCTGGATAAGATGGGGAGGTACCAACAAAAGTTGGTAGGCCTCTGTGAAGGAGTGAAAGGATGGAAGTCTAATGTCCCCACAGTATTCCTCTATGACTCCGGCCCGGAGTCAGCACCTGGGCGACCCGGAGTAAATGTGGTGGGATCGTGCCCTCAACCAGGAATGAGGGGGAGACCCCTCACTCCGGAGGCCCGGCTGGCACAGGCAGCGCGAACGAGGAATCAAGCCAAGGCCAGTACCAGCCAAGAGCCTCCAAGGGGGGAACACGAACCAGGGAGAAGGAAAGAGGCTGTGGAAGTAGAGGACGACGATGATGAAGAGGAAGAGGACGAGAGGCTGCGCAGAGAAGAGGATCAGAGAGCGGAGCAGCGGGCAAGGAAAAAGGGAACCAGGGGAAAGGTCGAACCGGTCATACATGACGGACCGCCTAAAAAGAAGAAATACACGGTCCGGTTGGAAGAGGGATTTGACGTAGAGAAGGTGATTGACCGACTGCTGGAAGGGCATAATGACCTCATGACCCTGAAGGAAATCCTAGCGTCAGCCCCGCGACTCCGCGATGAATTGAAGGGGAGGTTATCACGGCGTCTGGTGCCCAATGTCCATCTGGGTACGATCCTGCCCAAGGAGGCAGAGTGGGCGGAGTCAGGTACGAAGATGGACTGGAAGTGCGTAGCCTGTGGTACGGTGAATTTTATGGTGAAGGGTTCTAAGTGCGCAGCAATGGTGGACACCGGGGCAGGGATGAACATTATTCGGGAGGCGGACGCAATCAGATTCGGGCTGGATATAGACCGTTCTGACTGCGGTATTCTGCATGGAGCCAGCTGTAAGGCCATGTTTTGCGGGACAGCCTCGAATGTGCTCGTCGAGGTTGGAAAGGTGAAGGCCAGGTCATGCTTCTTCATAATGCCAGACGTGGACCATGGAATCCTTCTGGGGAGGTCATTCCTAAGCAGGACAAAGACCGTGATGTTCAACAAACATGATGGGACGTTGATCCTCCTCTTATGCGATCCTGCCTGCG